TCTACAATTGGATTCCAGGAGTTCGGCTCAGTGTTGAGCTGTGGGTGTCTGCTTCTGCTTCCATCAGCTCTAGGATGGCTTATAAGGTAGTTATCAATCTCTTTATTGGAGAAGGGTGTGAAAGGTAGCCTCTCCATTATTGCTTAGATCGTTGGGTTCATCCTTATGGATCTCTGGACATTTCCCTAGTGCCATATTTCTTTTTAAACCTATAATGGCTCCCTCTATTATGGATCTCTTTTCTTGTTCTCCTCCATTCTTCCCCTGACTCCCTCATGTCCTCCTCTCCCCTCCTCTTCTCCCTTTTTCTTTCTCCTAACTCCCTCTCCCCTGTCCCCATGCTCCCAATTTGCTTGGGAGATCTTGTCCCTTTCCCCTTCTCGGGGGACCATGTATGTCTCTCTTAGGGTCCTCCTTGCTTCCTAGATTCTCTGGTGGTGTGGATTGTAGGTTGGTTATCCTTTGCTCTATGTCTAAAATCCATATATGAATGGGTACATACAATGTTTGTCATTTTGTGACTGGGTTACCTCACTCAGGATGGTTTCTTCCAGTTCCATCCATTTGCCCGTGAATTTCAAGATTACATTGTTTTGGTTTTATTTTCCCTTTTGAGTAGTATTCCATTGTGTAGATGTGCCACATTTTCTCTATCCATTCTTCGGTTGAGGGGCATCTAGGTTGCTTCCAGTTTCTGGCTATTACAAATAATGCTGCTATGAACATAGTTGAACAGATGTTCAACTTGTTGTATGAATGTGCATCTTTTGGTTATATGCCTAAGAGTGGAATTGAGGTAGATTGATTTTACTGAGGAACTGCAATACTGATTTCCCAAGTGGCTTTACAAGTTTGCACTCCCACCAGCAGTGAAGGAATGTTGCCCCTTCTCCACATCCTCTCCAGCACTAACTGTCTTTGGTGTTTTTGATTTTAGCCATTCTGACAGAATTAAGATGGTATATCTCAGAGTTGTTTTGATATGAGCAATAAGGGATGTGCTGGACCGATGAAGCCTCTCAGGGTGACCTTTGAGCCTTGAGGTGGGAGCTGATTGGCCCAGATCAGAAGCAGTAGGCGGGGCTATGAGGTGGAGCCAAGAATGCAGTACCACCAGAGGAGGCCACAAGAGTGAGAAGATGTGGCGGGACTTGGGGGATATGCTGGGGTAAATTTATCATTTAGACTACTATTTACTGAAGACTGAGTTTGTCTGTGCACTGTGTGTTTCTGCTTCTTGCTGTTCTTCTCCCTTCCCCTTTCCTACGCCTCTCCCTCTTCCCTTCACTCTATCCCTGCCCTCCCCTCCTTTTCCCTTTCCCTTTGTGTTCATTTGACAACAGTTATGCTCATCTGTTTCTGTTTACCCCTGTTCCAGACTTTCTCTCTTATCTTAATGAGTTTAATGTTTAATCTTGAGTATTAAGCTATTATTATTATACTTCCCACAGTCAAGAACAGACAAAAGAACATATGCTGAAGAAGGTTGAACTCCTGTATCTCTCCCAACTCTACCATTGTTGGACTACTCCATTTTCTGAATTCTCTGCTCTTGGGAGTAAGATTTTGTTTGATTGTTTTGTGATGATAAGAATACAGACACAGATTTTTCTTATTTTTCTCTTCATTGTGCAAATTTGGACACTAAAAAATATTTTGTATTTTTCCCTCTCCCCCACTAAATACTATCTCCTCTAACTCCCCAATCCATGCAGAGTGAGCTCACTATTTAGTTGTGAAGCATTTATCTAAATCATTTTATTATCAATAAAAACTTGGGGTCAAATACCTGGGTGAAAAACTGATAGATCAAAGAAACAGTGAAGGAGTGACCGGCCAACTTTCTCTCTACACTTCCTAGATTGAAGAAAGAGATAGGAAAGTCCAAGTCCCTCCCTCCTCCTTCCTGTGCATCTTCTCTGTTCATATTCCTGGCTTCTCTATGGCTATTTCTGATCAGCTAGCCCTGGTTCAGGGTTAACTTTACTAACACAGTCTAAGAGAGTCACAATACTATCAAACATTTCACAATATAGTGTTTCATTGTGCATGGAGATATATAGTGCTAGAAATGGTGCAGGGGGTACCCTCTGCACATGTATTCTTATGTCGGTTGATGGAAGCTTCCTAGGAAGGGAATGCTATATCAAGAGTAGATTTATGTGGTACTTTGTTAGGTGTGGACAAATCACCCTTCAAGCAGAAAGTGCTTTCAGGAAAGCCTGAGCATGTTAGGGTTCTCTCTTCCTTACCAAGCAGGTGTCAGGTCAGACTTTTGAAATTTCAATAATCTGAACCATGGGGAATGTTATGGCAATAGTCTTCTTGTTTGTACTAAGTTGTTCTGAGGTGGTCTGCCTTTCGCATGTTTAAGGTATACTTTTATACCCTTTTTTTGTTAATACCCCATTCATGTTTTTTTGCCTTGTTTTCAGTGGCATTTGTCCTTTACAATTGGAACAAAGTCCATTGTATACTATATGTACTCACTGTATAGATAAATATATGCTGCAAATATTATCATTTCTCTTTTGATTTTATTCATAATTTCTTTTCCAAGGAAAAAGATTTATTTCAACTTATCTCTCAGTACAGAGCTAGGGTTCAGTGTAACCCCACAACACAGTTCTTTTCTTTTGCTCCTTTCAGTCATTCCTTCTAGATCATTCCATTCCTTTGTTGATTCTCACTGTCACAAAGATCTCTCTATAAGGGACCCACACTGCCACACTGCTGAGACTCAGAGTCTCCACAGCCACACTTGATTAGAACTCAGAGTGGGCAATAATAACCAAAGAACAGAAAAAAGGTGAGATCAGTTATCCACACCAAGAGATCCCACTGAAAAACACAAATATGAATGATCAAGACAGTATGCCTCTTCCAGAAACCAGCAACCCTGGTTGCCCTGAGAAAAACAATTTAGCCAAACAAGACAAAGACTTCAAAAATAGCAATTATGAATATGTTCAAAGACCTTAAAGAGGATATGAACAAGTGCCTTAATGAAGAGAGTGAAAAAAACAATTGACTGAAACAATAAAAACAGATAAAGACATAAAAGTAGAATTCAACAAAGAAACAGAATCACTAAAGAAAACCCACTCTGAAATAAAAGTATACATAGAAAACTCAGGTTGTCAAATAAAAACCTCAAAGGTAAGCTTCACCAACAGATTGAGAAATATAGAAGACAGAATTCCAGGTCCTGAAGTCAAGACAGAAGAAATTGATATCTTAGTCAAAGAAAATGTTCAATCTAAAAAAAAAAAAAAACCAACCAACAAATAAAAAACCTAGGAACAAAATATTCAAGAAACCTGAGACAAATAACAGGTATAGAGGAAGGATAAGGAACCCAGGTCAAAGGCAAAGAGAATGTATTTTGTTTTAAATTGTAGACAACTTCCCCAATAGAAGGAAACAGATGGCTATCAAGGTACAAGGAGCATACAAAACACAAAATAGAAAGGACCAGAAAATAATTTCCCAAAACACATTAAAAAGGATTTATTTTCATGTAGCCACATTTATAAATTTTCTTATTGCTCTGGATTTACAGGCACAGTTAGAAAGCCCCTTGCCACTCTGAGGTTGAAGAAATACCCATATTTTCTAGCTCATTTCTTTACCCTTTTCTCATTTAGAATTGAAACCATTTGAAGTTCACACTCATGTATAACTTTGTAATTTTTAATTGATTAATTTGCCAAATGACTATCCATCCAGGTCCCCTAACATGATTAAGAGCTTAAGATAATATTTTTGTTATATACTAGATTGTTATGCAAACCTGTCCCATTCCCAAGCTTTCTACTCAATTCTATGAACCCTGGAGTTTGTGTACTGTCTTAGTCACCTTTCTATTGCTGTGAGGAGACACATGACCAAGACAACTCCTAAATGAAAGCATTTGATTAGTTTTGGAGGTTTAGTCCATGCATGGCAGTATGCATGGAGCTAGAGCAGTAGCTGACAGATGCATCATGATCCAGAGAGACAGAGAGACACAGAGAGAGAGAATCAATGGGCCCATATGGGCTTTTGACGCTTCAAGTCCATCCCCAGTGACACACTTCTTCCAGGGCCACACCTACTCCACCAAGAGCACATATTCTAAACCTTCTCAAAAAGTGCCACCCCCTGATGACTAAGCATTCAAATATATGAATCTTTGGGAGCCATTCTTAGTCAAACTGCCACATGTTCCTGGGTTTGTTTTGAAGGTGGATCTTGCAGGTGCTGGTAATTAAAGGATCACATGACACAAATAAAAACAAACAAATCCTTAAGAATTTTGGACCTACAAGAATGACCCCAACTAACAGTTTGAGCAACAGTAGAAAGGCTACCATAAATGCCCTTTCCTGATAATGAGAGCAACGACTAACTTATCCACCATCATGGAGCCCTCATCTAGTAGCTGATGGAAACAGATGCAAACACCCACAACTAAACAGAGTCGAACTGGAATTCAGATGCAGAGAGGGAGGACAAGACCAGGTGGCAGAAAAACATAGAGACAGCTGACCTGAACAAGGAGGAGCTAATGCCTCCCCCCAGACTGATAGCTGGACCGACTCAGGCCCCCTGATCATGGGTCTCAGTTAGAAGGCCTGGGCAGTCTAAGGGACCTTGGACAGTGGAGCCAGGATATATTCCTGGTGCACAAAAGGACTTCGGGAGCACATCCCCCAGAGAGAAGGCCTAGTTCCTACTCAAATGACTTGACATATTTAGATGACTCCTCCTGGAGGGTATCACCATACATGTGGAGTGTGTGGGGGTGTCGGGGGTCATGAGAGGGTGGGAAAGAGGGAGGGAGGGAGAGGGAACTGGGGTTGATATGTAAAATAAAAATTATATATATATATATATATATATATATATATATATTTTGGTCTTGGCAAGGAGATTGTTGGAGTTGCTGCTTACTGAGAAGATGGAGTTCTGAGGGAAAATATGAGGCTTCCAAGTCTGACTATATTAGATTTGAGATAATGCCTTAAACTTATGAATAAGGAAAATAACAATTTGGGGTGAGGCCAGAGTCCTGACTGCTAATGTGAGACAAATTTTTGAGCAGGTAAAGGTTGCCTCCTAAGGTGACCTGCCTACTTTGCAGGATGCCTGGGTGAGACAGTCTGCCCGACCCCATATATACTAAAGAAAGTCAGAAAGTTAAAAAAATTTTTTTTCTTGAGATAAAATGTAGACCTCCTGGTGGAGATTAGAAAGAAGGAAGGGGACTTTGAGAATGGATTTAGGGAACTAGCCAGTAAGTGATGGCCAAACAAATGATGTTAAAACCATAAGACTATCAATAGCTTTTCATTGAAACCTTAACTTCATGAGAAGGTTCCAGATCAGAATGTCAGCAGAGTCCCTTTCACCTGAAGCCTGTCTTCTTGAGTGGCAGATGCTTGTCTCCTATCTCTATGTTCACACAAATTTCCCTCTGTGTTATCCATCATGAATTGGCTAAGTCTAAGTCTACTGTAAAGACCCAATTTTAATGTAATAAAAGGATCAAGACCTTATTTCTAAATCTAGTCACATTCTAAAGTACTAAAGGGTAGGCACTGAGTGCTTGGATTTGGCAGTAGACAAGTCCAGCAACAAATATCTTCTTAATTTACCAGTTGAGTGGAAGCAGGAATTTGCAGTCTGAAATATCATACTGCTTTGTCAAATGATCAGCAAGATTACTGCTTCAACACTCAGAGGTTAATATTTCTCCTTTCTTTGAAAGATATTTGTGAGGAAGCTAAACAATTGAAGAGGTCACACACAATCCTTGGATCTGACCCAGAGAAAGTCTGTTTCTTTTGGGAAAGCATGGGATCTCAAAAGGTTCAAGATGCAAGTTAAATAGAAAATCTAGCCTTTGGGCCAGGAAAAAAGATTGTAATAGCTAGAGTTTGGGTTAGAGACTCCCTCAGTGGTATAAAGCTTGCATGAGGCCCTGGGTTTGAGCTCTAGTTTAGGAAAAGAAAGGGACAAAGAACAATAATAAAATATTAATGCTGATCTTAGAGAAGTCAGTCTTTTTTATTTTTTATTTTGGCCATTAGCATGAACTAATTAAAGTAAATCTGAAATATTTTTCAGTTAAAGAACTATTCCAGACTCCCATTAATATACTTTCAGTTTGAAAGTATCCCAATATCACTTTTAAGACATAGCCTTTAGTTATATATGGAAACTAAGAGTCACGACTTACAAATTACTATAATTAATTCATTAATTTTTTTCAGTTGTATCTACATTTAAAAGAATAATTCAACTCTCCCTGGCTTTACAGTAAGATTCTATAACTTCTCTAAGTTGCTTTCAATTCAAGAGCCTCTAGAAGGTTACTTGGTAATCTATTTTTTCAATATTTCTGCTATTTGGATATTAATCATCAACTTACTGTGTCCTAGTGTGGGAAACACCTTCATAAATTACACCTGAAATGTACTGAGTGTCTATAGGACGTTCATTCTAGGGGAAGAAAATTACTTCGAGTCTTCCTTCCTCAGATTGATGTCTTTGTTATTTCTTGGTAACTTCTGTTACTAGCCTCTGAGGCGACTTTCTGAAATTGGAATGCAGCATTAACATGGCTACTCAACAAATCATCTGAACCAAGTACATTTGCTTGGAGGCATTAGGCTGAAATGGTGACTGAGGCATTCAAATTTTATCTAGGAGATTTTAACACATTTTGATGTATAATATTGGATTTCCGGGGGGGGCGTGACATTGTGTGCATGGATAAAGAAAGTTGTGAAGATGATAACATTTTTGCATGAGAGAAAGAAAAAAAATGTAGACATAAAAGTGAAACAAAGATCATACAAAAATGCCAGTGTTGATCTCACAGTACTCTGCCTGTGCAGGGTTTAATTCTTCCTCTCTGATTGTTTGTGGGGCATGATCGCATGTAGCCTAGACTGGCCTTGAGGTCTGAGTGGCGCCAGTGATGGGGATCACCTTGGACTGATGATCATCCTCCTGCCATACCTCCTTAAGACAGGTTTAACAGTTGTGTGCCACTGTGCCTGGTTTATGAGGTTCAGAGGATGGACCTAGAGCTTTTGTCCCTACTAGGGAAGCTTTCTACCAACTGACCTACATTCCCAGCTGCCACTAATTCAACCATTTGAATAATATTATATATATATATATATATATATATATATATATATATATATATATATCTTACTTAGAGGAAAATATTAAAAAGGTAACTCCTAAATATAAACACAGGCTACCCCCTCCTCTTGGTCAGTGGGACCCTCATCTAGGGAAGTTTTACTGCTACTCTTTGTCCAAGTTCCAGTCTTCTTTTAACACACATTACTTCTAAATGGGGCCATTTTGGAAGCAAAGATTCATAGTGAGGTCAGAACTATAATCCACTGACAACACACTTCAGCATTTTTTGCTTTCTCTGATAAACAACGGTGAATTGTGCCTCTTTATACCTTGGTTAGTCTTTGCAAATGCTGGTAACTGAAACAGGCCAGCATCTGAGCATTAGCTGCACTAGCACTGACCCTCATATGATCGGTATGCCACATTCTCCAAATGTGTAGTTCTATAAGGTGCCTCCCATGGTGCTGACCCTGCTGCCCATCTTCACTCCCTGGCTTTTGAGGGAAGGTCTTTCAGGTGTTTGTAGATAATTGTGGTTCTTCTCTGTCAGTGGGGGCTGTAGTCTGGCACATTTGGGAACACAAAAGTAAAACCATCTTGTACCTCTTGCTCATTAGCTTCCTGTTTTTAAAAACAGGCACTGATTACTCCAGCCTATGACTTGCCTTAGACTGTGAAATGTCAAAGAACTGTATGCATCAAGCTATTGAATCAGAGGGGGGGGAGAGGGGTTGTGCCAATTTCCTAAACACTATAGTATTGGGTTATATTATAAGTTAGAGTAGTTTAGGCTGTCCCCAGAGGTGTGTATGTTTAAATGTAGTTCCTATTCTGTATCTAAAAGGTAGAAAAGGAAGACTTTGAAAATTGAGTAGAATTAAAGTTAAATGAGGTCATCTGGAGAGATCTAGGGAGGGAGGGAGAGAGGACAACCAACCATATGTGTTCTATTGTTTGCTATGTTGTGTCTTGTACCACTTCAGGATTCCCCAGTAAAAAGATAATTATCAGAGGTTTCTCCTTGGCTTTGGACCTGCTTAATTATCAGTCAAAAGGAACCATAGTTTATAGAGTTACTGCTTAGTTATAGTGAAACCATATAGACAGATGCAGGCTATATTTGAGAGGATCCACAATTATCATTAGAACTGTAATATCAGTGTTAATGGTAGCAAGTCCAGCAGAACACAACACAAAGTCCCAGGCCCTTCTTAAAACAATACATATATATTGATATCTGTCATTACTGTCTTCCATCCCTGTCCTATTTAGTGTGTGCCATAAGGAACTCAAATCCTTGCTTTCTGAATGGATTTAATATTGTAGAAACAAGCATAGGCTGCTTAACTGAGAATAAGTAAGTCTATTTATCCAGAACTTGCTGTAGTGAGGGGCTGGGTACCTAATATAACCACTTTTGCCAAACAGGCTGATGCAGGCCAAAAAGATTTTCAGTGGGGAAAAATGGGAATCCTTTGATGTGTCTCATTGAGATTGTTGATATGCAGAAATTGTGGGTAGCCTCACTGGAACTAGGACATCTTATGTCACCCATTAGTGGTTTGTTCTGGTTAGTTTCGAACTGGGGCAGCTATGAGCTGCTAATCAAGTTATGACTGTTTTGATAGGAGAGATACAGAGGCTTGGCTGGCTTCTTAGGCTTGTTGTTGTGCGTTATGGGTCAGGGTTCTATTTTTATTTGTGGTTTGATCATTTAGGTTGAATATTCAGGCTCTCACCAGAGGTAATTATTTATTTATAGACTCTTTGCATGGCATGAGTAGTAACCTACTCACCATTGCATACTACAAAGTAGATTTTCCTAGTCTGTAATATTTCCTGTCAAAGTCATAGTTTTACATGGTCAAGTCTGTTTTTCTTTGTAATTTCAAGGATTTAGAATTTTCCTTTAAAAAGAGTCTTCTTTATGACACTATAAAACATGCCTCCTGAGTTTCCTCTTAATGTTACTGTAGTTAGGCATAGAACTTCAATCTATATCAATTTCTACATATAGTATAAAAGGAACTACAGTTGTACTTCCTTCTTCAGATGGACAGCTGCTGAGGAGCATAAATTCTCCCTGACTGACTTAAAAGGCCATGTTCAGTGAACACTCATCTGTGGCATGCACTTGTGCTTGCCCTGGGCCTCTACTCCTTGATCTGTTTTTCTGCTCAATCACCAGAACACATCCCTGTTTTTGGAGCATTAGTCCCTCTGCCCCCATCTTTCTCTATTTCTTTATGTCACTGAGAAAAGGGCTTTTCAAAGCTCTGTGTTCACAGACAAAGTAGAAACTGTCTCACGTAGTTGTTGCATCATTGGATAAGAGTGTGATCTGTGTAGCTTGTGCTTTTTGATTGTTGAGAATGTTTTTAAAATTAATATATCTATCTAAGCATGTTTTATCAACCTCAAGTCTCAAGTGTTTCATGCCATATTTTAGACAGTTAGTAAAAGTCATTAAGTTCTCTTAGCATGATTTTAGATTTGCCTGTGTTTCTTGTCTTCTAACATTCTTGGTCTACATTAAAAGAATATTATTAGTTATGTAAATGTTCATGACTATTAATAGTGCCTTGGTGGATGTTATATCTAACATTCTGGAAGCCTCCTTGCTAGTATTGGGAGGAAAAGCCTCAAATGTGAAATAACTGGAAATCAGAACATACGCTGACTAAACAATTTGTTCCCAATGTTATGATTGGAAATCATAGTTTTCCTAACAAAGGAAAGCTCTAATGGTCAAGCCATTCTGTTCTGGAGAAGCGACCACTCTTTTCTCTGAAGAGATCTGAATCAAGGGAGGGGAACCATGACTCTTGCAGTTTCTTCTGTCTCCCTGGCCATGGTAAAGGGCGTCCCTGTACATGAGATATGGAAGTGCATTCACTGGAGACCATCCTGCTCACAGGGCTTTTTGCCATGGTGATGGTCTTTGCTTTATGTTCTGATGACTGTGTTGATAACCAGGCGAGGCGGCCATAGTTTGTGCTCCTCTCTGC